ATAGATTAATTTACCCATTAAACTGTGCAATTAATTACCAGTACGAATATCAATATGATGTAATAGAAGAATAATGTACTCATATGAATTGCATATGACAAATATAGAATTTTTCTGAAATCATTTGTATTCTTCATATTACTTGTATGACTGGGTATCTAAAATGTAACTGAATAAGTCCGAATTAAAACATATTCGTAAAGTAAGATCTGGGGGATCGAACATTCCGACATGCAAAGTAAATCGCGCCCGTGACTGGACAGAAAGTGAAGCTTCGTTTGTCATTGGTCACGTGATTTCTATGACAGTTAACAACAACACAACACAAGCTTCGAATCGAGGCCTCATCTAGCACGCCCATTTGTTCTCGACACAAGCTCCGATGTCTCGGTTCAAATGTCACATCACTAGCAGAGGGTAATACCACTAACTTAAGAAACCAGGTCAGGTACAGTTCATATATCTGACTGCTTGTATTTAGTGACAAAATTGTATAAATGTGAAGTAAAATTGAGGATGCAGTGCATCGTGATATCGAATTGAACCGAATCGATGACATGATAATCGTAACCGAACCGAACCGTGAGACCAGTGTAAGTTCACACCCCTACTTACAAGGGTGTTTTTACCATTTTATTTTATTTTATTTTATCAGATGAACTGTTACTTGGCTGAACACTCATTGCCAAGTTGATTCAGAATGTTCAATGCAAGACTTTTTAAAATTTAGTAAAAAAATTATTTAAAGATTAACTAGTATTTATAAATGAATAAAAACAGATTTAACCAAGGTGGATAATTTTCAAAGTGTATTAGGAAATGTTAAATTGAAAAAGTGCTCCTATATGGCTGTCTTATAAGGGTTTTGTTTTGTTTTATTTTATGTTTTATTTTGTATTATTTTTATTTTATTTATCAATTTTTATTTTATTTTATTTTAGTTTTTTTCATTTTATCTTATCAAATCAGAGGAACTATTATTTGGCCAAACAGCCATTTCCATGTAGATTCAGAATATTTTTAGCAATTCCTGCATTAAAAATAAAAAATAAAATAGTTAAGCATTAACTAATATTAATAAATGCTGTAGAAATATTTTCATGTTCATTTTTAGGTCATGTTAACTAAAGATACAAACAAAACCTTATTGTAAAGCGTTAACCGTGTTTAAATTGTACAGTATGCATAGTTTAAAATTTTTTTTTATTTATTTTATTTGTTTTTTTATAAAAAATATGAAATATTTTTTTTGTACTGCAAAGATTAATTTCTACTTTTTTTTTTTTATGAATGTATTTTCTTTTAAAAACATTAATGATTTGTTGTAGAAAGAGTGGAGAAACTTTTTTTTTTTTTTTTTGTGGTTTCTAGAGAAGTTCTAGATAACACACAGCACAGAAATGGTCCCGTTTAGTGCATGGTGTCTGTCTAAAGCCTGTTAGTAACACACACTCGCTCTTCCTCAACACGTGTCCTAATTTGTCCCCCGTGCGGAGCAGCTATTGTTCATGCACAATAGAGGAGGACTGTGAATAATGGTTTGTGTAGAGCTGCACACGCCACACGCCTGTCCGACTCATTCAGAGGGAAGTGGCTTCTGCCGCGCTTCTCTTTGACCAGAAGGGCCTGCAGCGTTTCTTTCTCATGCTAAAAGTCTTTGACTGGACAAAACCGCAGCGAGAAGCGTCCTGACACGCGCCTGTCCGATGAATTCTCACGCCGAGCAGGAAAATGTTATGAAAGAGCGAGAGAGAGAGCACGAGTCCTCTGAGACGTGCTGAGATTATTGATCTAACACTTCTCTTTAGGTTTGTACACATAATGAAAGTTATTCACCGCGTGTAGCGTTTTCTCCCTCCTCTCGTTTCCTCTTATTGATCCGGACGGGTTTGTGAAACTGTGCTTAGCTTGTGTTATTAAGTGTTTTTTAATGGAGTCGTTCTTTAAATCGTGTGCCGAGAAAAAAGCCGAGCGTGTGCCAGAGGAAGCAGGGATTTAGAGAAACAAACGCCGGCGTTTTTAGTAGATTTGGCCGTGTGTTACTGAGCTGTCGGGATGAAGGAGCAAGTTTCTGTCTGAGAGTGTTGAAGAGGCCTGTAGATTATTTTGGTCAACAGGGAAACGGATATCAATTTTATTTTAATTGTCATGTTTTTAAATTCACTTTTTTTAAGTGAAAGAATTATTTTATTTTAATGATTTTTTAAAATTATAATTGTTAATTGAATTTTATTGAATTGAATAATTTAATTTAATTTAATTGTTTTGTTTAGACCATCATATTTTATGTATGTATTTAAAAAAAATGTTTTATCAAGTATGTTCCCATTTGCTGTGATTTTGTCACTTAGTGCAACATTTCCGCTTTAGTGAGGACAGTAAAATTGTGCCGCACCTAGTGCACATAAAATGCACAAATACAATAGCAAACAGTTTTGTGCTGATCAACATGTAGATCCAGTACCAAACAGTACAGTGACATCATCAGCTCCCTTTTGACCCTGCACACTTGGAATACGCTCATGCAAATGATCAGTTTTGTGTTCTGTCAATACCTGCAGGTTTTCCTGGGTTACTGAGTGGGTAATGGGTGATTAATAATGTTCATTCGGTTATCCATGAGATGT